TATGAACATGGGGGTACATATATTCTTTCTGATTGGTGTTTCAGGCTTCTTAGGGTATATTCCTAGAAGTGGGATCACTGGGCCAAATGGCAATTCAATTTTTCATTTTTTTAGGTAACACCATATTGTTTTTCATAGTGGCTGCACCAGTCTGCATTCCCACTAGCAGTGTACTCGAGTTCCCTTTTTTCCACATCCTTGCCAACACTTGTTGTTTGATGATTTGTTGATGGTGATTATTCTGACAGGTGTGAGGTGATACCTCATTGTTGTTTTAATTTGCATCTCTCTGATGATTAGTGATGTTGAGCATTTCTTCATATGCCTCTTAGCCATTTGTATGTCCTGTTTGGAGAAGTGTCCATTTAGTTCCTCTGCCCATTTTTTAATTGGGTTCTTTGTTTTCCTTTTGTTGAGTTATACTTTAGATTCAAAGGCACAACTAGGTTGAAATTAAAAATACTTTTAAACAGTAACCAAAGGAGGGCTATACTAACATCAAACAAAACAGTAAACTTTAAAACTAAATTGTTAACTGAAACAAAGAAGAACACTTAAAAATGAGAACTGGGTCAATCCATGAAAAATAATGACAATCACAAACATATATATATCTTATATCAGAGCCCTAAAATTCATGAAATAAACTTTGACAGATTTGAAGAAGTGGACAATTTAAAAATAATAGTTGAAGACTTTAATAATGGATAAAACTAGCTAGCAAATCAGAGAGCAAAAAGATTTGAATGACATTATAAATCAACTAGATTACAAGATACCTTTAGAAAACAGCAGAATACACATTCTTCTCATGAACATGGGACATTCTTCAGGAGAGAACTCTGACAATTCAACAATAATTATACATATAACCCAATTTTTAAACTGGCTAAAATATTTTAATAGACCATTTTAAGGAAGATATATAGTCAATAAGCACATAAAGTGATGCTCAATATCAGTCATTAGAGAAATGTAAATCAACTACAATGAGTTACCACTGAAAATCCACTAGGATGCCAAAATGTGTGTGTATACACACACACACACACACATATATGTATGTATATATATGTACATAATATATATACATATATACACACATATATATTAACAAGTATATGAGGATATAGATAAATTGCAATATTAATATATTTGTGATGGAAATATAAAATACTGAAGCAGCTCTGGAAAACAGTTCAGCCCTCCCTCAAAAAGTTAAGCATAGAATCACATATGACTCAAAAATTTCACTCCTAAGTATTTACCCAAAGGAAATAAAAACATATGTCTATACAAAACCTTGTGCATACATGTTTATATTAGCATTATTCATAAAAATGAAAAATGGAAACAACTCAAATATCCATCAATTGATGAATAGATAAATGAAATGGTATAGCCACACAATGGAATATTATTCAGCCATAAAAAAAAAAAAAAAATGAAGTACATATTGCTCCCAAATGGATGAAGCTCAAAAACACTGTTAACTGAAAGAAGCCAGATACATATGTTCACATATTGTATGACCATTTATATGAAAAATCTAGATTAATTAAATCCATAGAGAACAGAAAGCAACCAACAGACAGCAGATTAGTGGTTGTCACAGCTGACTGGTGCATAGGGTGGGAGAATGAAGAGTGACCACTTAATGAAGAGTGGCCATTTTATGGGAATTTTTAGGCATGCTGAAGTATTCTGGATTAGTGTGTATTAATGGTCATACAACTTTGTGATTTTACTAAAACCTTTGGATCATATACTTTAAAAGGAAATTTTATATTGTATGGATTATATCTCAATTTAAAAGTACCTATAGTTCTGCTACTAACAAATACTACTAATAAAATTCTGGAAATTTGAAATTGCTATATGAATAAGAAACTACTATGTACATTGGGTACGTAGTATGTGCCTGATATTTCACATACGCTGTCTCTTTTAGTCATCATATCATTATTCCTGCATAAGTAAACTGGCATTTCAAGAGATAAAATAATTTTTCTAGTCATATTACTAATATGTGAAGAGATTAATAAACTTAGGTTTCTCCATTATATACCCCCAAACCTGTGTGGCTGCTAAGGAGCAGATATGCTCATAGTGTCCTAATTTGGACCATAACGAATGGTTTGTTTACTTTGGCAACTGTGAAAACTGAAGTAGAGTGGTAGATAGCAAGTAAATAGCAAGCCAAGAAAGAGATACCCAGTCTTTTTGGCTTTGCATCTCTATCAGAGTTCTTATAATCAGGCAGGTGATTAGGAAGGGAAGTGAAACAATGACTTGGAATAGGGAACAGGACAAGAATGTTCTCCATACAGATTTGAAAATGATTTTGCAATTTGTCTACTTTATTCCAACTTCACCTGAATGAGTCATTCTCATTAATAAAATTGTCCTTTGACACCTAGAACTCCCAAATGTTTTACAACTCTCTTTTATTATTGCAGTATTCTGCTTTTGCAAATAAACACATTGATTTTGAACTGCTCCATCCAATAAACAAAATAAGTCTTGAAAGAGTCAGAAAAAGGTAAAGCCTAACCAGTGAGTAAGTAAACAATCAGAAGTTATGGAGAGAAGGTAAAATTGATGGTTATAGATGCTAAAAGGAAACTGGATACCAACTATGTTTTATGTTTATACACTTGGCTGCCTCTGGATGGTGAACTGAGAAATGGGGCATAGAGGTATGAAGAAGACCTGTTACTTTTTCATATCCATTAAATTTTAAAGCATGTGATTGCATTACCTACTCAATTAGTGGTCATTTAAAATTATTTTTTTAATGGAAAAAATAATAAAATGCTGCATTCTGGAAAAGGTATTAAAAGTCCTTTGAGAGTAGCTGCTTTTCTTCCAAGCCAAGATGTGGTGTGTGTAAGGAGAGGCACAGGCAGTGCATTGCAAGGAGAGTCATGCTGGCTCCAGACTGTCAAGGGAAAAGAGCTAAGATGAGGACTCCATTAGACTGGGGGAAAAATTCCCTGAATGAGGACAGTAGAGCCCCTGAAAAGTCATGGAAAATGTAGGGTGTAAGAAGTCATTCTGTTGTTTATAAGAAGTATAACAAATCCTTGAGTGCTCAGAGCATGGATGCAGGTGGGAATAAAGATATATAAACAAGTCTCCTGAGATTTTTCCTGGAATCAGTAAAAAGGCAGACTGAGAACTCTCTTCCTAGGGCCAATAAAAAAAAATAGTAGCAAAAAAGTTTCAAAAGTAAAAAAGATGAGATACTCAATAATTGATGAAGCTGCTGAAAGATACTACTAGGCCCCCAAAAGGTGGCTAAGTTATAAAATCTGAAGGCAAAAGCCCGGGTTAGAATCACAGTGCTGATATATTAGCTGAGCAACACCAGGACAATTATTTAAGCTTTTTTTGTTTTCATTTCTTTATCTGTAAAGTAGAAAATAGTTTTAAGTTCTCATGAGTTTAATTATCACACACTATATTCAATAAATAAGATTAATAAAGGGATTAGCAGTAGCTCTAAACTTTTTTTCAGCTACAAAAAAATACTATGCATAAATAAAATTTTACTCAAAGACTCAATTTGTAAAATAGAAAATAGGGTTTTTCTAGTTGAGTGAGTGCTGGAGAGGCAACTGATTAATCACTAGGACTCTGAGGCAAAATTTGAAAATCATCATAAGAGATTCCAAAATAGCAGCAGAGTGAATGGAAGCAACACAGACTATCTCCCAGGACAAAACTGAAATTACAACTAAAATAAAGATAAATCGTCAGGAATAAACAACAGAAAAGCAGCTTGCAAGGACCATATAACCAGAGACACTGAATTGATCCTGGTAAGATTGCAGAGTGACAACAGAGGGGCTGAGAGCCCATGGACAGCAGTGGTCATAGCTGTGAGCAGTCTCTAGACCCCTCCACAGCCCAGAGGGCCGGGACAGAGCATTAAAATAGACACAGCCACTCACCTTGGGCTCCAGCAGAGGAAAGGTGGACTGGACAGGAACTTGGGATTAGGAGGGTGCTCAGAGCTTTTGCTGAGTTGTGGCCATACAGGAAGGTGGGCATCTTACTCCTTCCCAGGGCTCTGGAGAGAGGCAGTGGCCTCTCCATCAAAGATTCAACCCAATCCAGGAGGGCCATTGAAATGCAAATTGGGGCTCATTAACAACCACCCTTGGGAAATCCGCTTATGTGGAACACCTGTGGGAATTTTTCATTCAACTTGAAGAGCCTGACAAACCAAGGCTCTTCAAGGAACCTTGACTAATAGCCTCCAAGCAAAAAGCTAGAGGATAATGAACCTTTCCTGGGCTTGCAAATCTACCCAGGAGAGTAAGACTTGACAGTGGTGTTTAACGTGGGTCCTCCCTCGCTCATCCAAACCCAGTAGAGGGAAGCACAAACAGGAGAACATCAACACCCACAAGGAAAATTAGGCAGGCTCCAAAATCCACTGAGATAGCCAAAATGGTGAAACAAAGAAACAAATCCCAAATAAATCAACAAGAGACCTCTGCCAAAGATGAGATAAATAAAATACAGTTAACCAAGTTATCAAAGGTAGAATTCAGAGTCATGATCTTGAGAAAGCTCAACACCATGAGTAAGGACATCAACACCATGAGTAAAGATATAGAAACATTGAAAATCAACCAATTGGAAGTGGAAAAACCACCAAGAAAAATAAGAATGACATAGCAGAAATAAAGAACACATTGTAAGGACTAAACAGCACACTAAAGGAAGCTGAGGATCGAATTAGTGAATAAGAAGACAGGGTAGAAAATAATCAACCAATCATAAAACCAAAGGAAAAATCAATTAAAAAACAGAAGACAGGGTAAGAGAACTGTGGGACAACTGCAAATGTAATAATATTTGCATCATAGGAGTCGCCAAAGAAGATGAAAATGAGCAAGGGTTAGAGAATATATTTGAAGAAATAGTGACAGAAAATTGCTCTAATTTGGTGAAGAAAGAAGGTATTCAAGTTCAAGAAGCACAGAGACATACTTACCTGGCAGGGGAGACACCATGATACCAAAGCAGGTTTCTCAGGGCGAGGCTTATCCATTTCACTCCGGATGTGATGACGCCTGAGATTTCTCCAAATGTGGGAAACTCGACCGCATAATTTGTGGTAGTGAGAGACTGCGTTCATGTTTCACTCTGGGGGGGGGAGAGAGAGAGAGAGAGAGAGAGAGAGAGAGAGAAGCACAGAGAGCCCCAAGTAGGAAGAACCCAAATAGGCCCACACCAAGACACATAGTAATTATAATGCCAAAAATTAAAGACAAAAAGAGAACGCTAAAGGCAGCAAGAGATAAGCAACAGGTTACCAACAAAGAAACCCCCATAAGGCTCTCAACTGACTTCTCAACAGAAACACTACGGGCCAGAAGGGAGTGGTACGAAGTAATCAAAATCATGAAAAATAAGGATCTGAATACAAGACTACTCTATCCAGTAAGGCTATCATTCAAAATGGAAGGTCAAATAAAGAGCTTCCCAGACCAAAAAAAGGCTAAGGGAATACATTAGCACCAAACCAGCACTGCAAGAAATGTTAAATGGACTGCTGTAATTAGTAGAAATAGAAAGAAAAATATAACCACACTAAATGAAAATGGAAATAAATAAGTACATATCAATAATACCTTAAATGTAAATGGATTGAATGCTCCAATAAAAAGACACAGAGTAGCTGATTGATTAAGAAAGCATGACTCATATATATGTTGTTTAAAAAATACCTACCTCACAACAAAAGACTCACATAGGTTGAAAGGGAAGAATTAAAAAAAAATTTCCAAGCAAACAAAAAAAAGAAAAGCTGGAATAGCAATACTCATATCTGATAAAGTTGATTTCAAAATGAAGGCTATAACTAAAGACAAAGAAGGTCATTACATAATATTGAAAGGATCTATACAATAGGAAGATATACCTTGGTAAACATATATGCACCAAATATAGGTGCACCAAAATATATTATAAATCTTCTGGAGGACTTTGAAGGAGAAATCAAAAGCAATACAATCATAGTAGGAGACTTCAACACCCCGCTAACATCACTAAATAAAACCTCTAGACAAAAAATTAACAAGGAAACAGAGACTCTAAATGAAGCGCTAGATCAAATGGATTTAATAGATACCTACAGAGAATTACACCCCAAAACTACAGAATTCATATTTTTCTCAAGTGCACATGAAACATTCTCAAAGATAGACCACATGTTAGGACACAAACTAAGTCTCTACAAATTCAAGAAATTGAAATCATATCAAGCATCTACTCAGATCACAATGGCGAGAAACTAGAAATCAATTAGAACAAGAACATACAAAGACATTTGAACACATAGAAGTAAAATAGCATGTTATTAAACAATGAATGGTTACCGAGGAGATCAAAAAAGAGATTAAAATCTTCCTGGAAACCAATGAAAATGAACATAAAACAACACAAAATCTATGGGATGCAGCAAAAGCAGTTTTGTGAGGGAAGTTCATAGCACTACAAGCCTACCTAAAGAAACAAGAAAAATTTATAATAGATTACCTAACCTCACAACTTAAAGAACTAAAATGCAAACAAAAAGAAAACCTCAGAGCAAGTAGAAGAAAGAAAATATCAGAGAAGAAATAAATGACATAGGGGCCAAGAGGGAAAAAAAAAAAAAAAAAGTTCAAAGGATCAATAAAGAGCCGGTTTTTCAAAAAGATAAACAAGATTGATGGACCCTTGGATAGACTCACCAAGAAACAAAGAGAGAGAACCCAAATACATACAATCAGAAATGAAAGAGAAGAAGTAACAAATGACACCACAGAAATACAAAGGAATGTTAACAAATACTATGAACAATCATATGGCAACAAATTAGTCAATCTAAGCAAAATGGACAAATTTATAGAAACACACGATCTCTAAAGACTGGACTGCGAAGAGATAGAAAACTTGAACAGACCAATAACAACTAAATAAATTAAAGATGTAATCAAGATTCTCACAGTAAACAAAAGCCCAGGCCTGGATAGCTTCACAGGAAAGTATTACCAAACATTCAAAGAAGAACTACCACCCATTCTTCTAAAACTATTCCAAAAAATTTAAGAAGGAAGACTTCCAAACTTGTTTTTTTGAGGTCAGCATAATTCTAATCACAAAGCCAGAAAAAGACACCACAAAGAAAGAAAACTATGGGCCAATATCCCTGATGAACATAGACGCCAAAATCCTGAACAAAATACTAGCAAATCGGATCCAGCAATACATCAAAAAGTTATTCACCATGACCAAGTGGGATTCATCCCAGGGATGCAAGGATGGTACAATATTAACCAATCAATAAATGTGATACACCACATAAACAAAATGAAAGATACAAATCATATAATCATATCAATAGATGCTGAAAAACCATTTGACAAAATCCAGCACTCCTTTCTGATAAAAATACTCACCAATATGAGAATAGAGGGATCATATCTTGACATAATAAAGGCCATATATGAAAGACCTACAGCCACCCTGCCGGTTTGGCTCAGCAGTTGGAGCGTCAGCCTGCAGTACAGAGAGACCCGGGTTTGGTTCCCGCTAAGGGCACGTACCTCGGTTGCAGTTTGTCCCGGCCCTGGTTGGTCATGCGGGTGGCAGCCACTCGATGTGTCCCTTCACATCGATGTTTCTCTCTCTCTCTCTTCCTCTCTCTCCCTCCCACTCTATCTGAACAAAAAATGGAAAAATGTCCTCAGGTGAGGATAAAATAAAGAAACACCATCAGCCAACATCATACTCAATGGGCAGAAACTAAAAGCATTTCTCTTAAGAACAGGAACAAGACAGGGATGCACACTTTTTCCACTCTTATTTAACATAGTACTAGAAGTCTTAGCCACAGCAATCAGACAGGAAGAAAAAATAAAAGGGATCCAAATTGGAAAGGAGGAAGTAAAATGTTATTACTTGCAGATCACATATTATAATATAGAAAATGCTAAAAACTCCATCAAACATCTACTCGACTTAATAAATAAATTTGGCAGAGTAGCAGGATACAAAATTAACGTCAAGAAATCGACGGTATTTTTATACACCAATGATGAACTCACAGAAAGAGAAACTAAAAAAACTTCATTTACCATTGTGGCAAAAAAATTAAGATACCTAGGAATAAACTTAACCAAAGAAGTAAAGGACCTATTTCCATAAAACTACAGGACATTGAAAAGAGAAATAGAGGAAAATATAAAAAAGTGAAAGCACATACCTTGTTCATGGATTGGAAGAATTAACATTATTAAAATGTTCATATTACCCGAAGCAATCTATAGATTCAGTGCAATCCCCATCAAAATAACAATGACATATTTCACATAACTAGAACAAATATTTGAAAAGTTCATATGAAGCCAAATAAAACTCTGAATAGCCACAGCAATCTTGAAAAAGAAGGACAAAGTAGGCAGGATCACAGTACCAAATATCAGGTTATACTACAATGCTACTGTAATCAAAACAGCCTGATATTGGCACAAGAACAGGCATATAGACCAGTGGAACAGAACAGAGAACCCAGAAATTGACCCAAGACATGCTCAATTAATATTTGACGAAGATAGCAAGAGCCTACAATGGAGTAAAGACAGCCTCTTTAATAAATGGTGTTGGGGAAATTGGACAGCTACAGGCAAAAAAAACCCCACAAAAAAACGAAATTACACCATCAACTTATACCATACACAAGAATAAACTCAAAATGGATAAAAGACTTAAATATGACCCATGAATCCATAAAAATCCTAGAAGAAAATGTAGGCAACAAAATTTCAGACATCATGCACAGCAGAATTGCCACTGATACATCACCTAAGACAACAGAAACAAAGGAAAAAGTGAACACATGGGACTACATCAAACTAAAAAGCTTTTGCACAGCAAAAGAAACAACCATCAAAATGTAAAGGGAATCCACTATATGGAAGAGTATGATTGGAAATAATACATCAGATAACGGGTTAATTTCCAAAATATATAGAGTACTCATACAACTCAACAAAAGGAAGACAAAGAACCCAATTTAAAAATAGGCAGAGGAACTAGACACCTCTCCAAACAGGACATACAAATGGCCAAGAGACATATGAAGAAATGCTCAACATCACTAATCATCAGAGAGATGCAAATTAAAACAAAAATGAGGGTATCACCTCACACCTGTCAGAATGACCACCATCAACAAATCATCAAACAAGTGTTGGTAAGGCTGTGGAGAAAAGGGGACTCTAGTACACTGCGGGTGAGAATGCAGACTGGTGCAACCACTATGAAAAACACTATGGTGTTACCTCAAAAAATGAAAAATTGAATTGCCATTTGTCCCAGTGATCCCACTTCTAGGAATATACCCTAAGAAGCCTGAAACACCAATCAGAAAGAATATGTGTACCCCCATGTTCATAGCAGCTCGATTTACAATAGCTAAGATCTGGAAATAGCTCAAGTGTCCATCAGTAGACGAATGGATAAAAAAGCTGTGGTAAATATACACAATGGAGTACTATGCAGCGGTAAGAAAGAAAGGTCTCTTTTCCTTTGAGATGACATGGAGGGAAAGTATTATCCTAAGTGAAACAAGCCAAGCAGAGAAAGACAAATATTACGTTATCTCACTTATTTGTGGAATATAATGAACATAACAGTCTTAGGAACAGGGTAGACCCAGAGACGTGGAAGTAGGGTACAGACTGACAACTCTCAGAATAGGGGGGAGAGGGGAGGGAAGAGATAAACCACAGAACTTATATGCATGTATGCATAACTGATGGATATGAACAACAAAACTGGGGACAGGCTGGGGGGGATGGTGAGTAGGGTGTCAATGGGGAAAAAAAGGAGAAACATCTGTAACAAAAATAAATTAATTAAAAAAAGAAAAGAATATCACCATGAAATTAGATTTCTAAAACTCTTTGTAGCACACAAACTTCTATACATTTATTTCCTTGGTTTTACATATTGAATCATTCCCAGGCTGCATTTAAACTCCAGTTATGCTTATATATGCATGGATGGTATTTAAACAGTGATTGAGAACAATTAAAGATTATTGCTGTTATGATTATAATTCTTTTAGAAAAACATATTCTTCAGCCCTGATTGGTTT